CCATGTAAGCCAATTATGTTTCTTCCTATGGGCATCCGCCGCGACTACAGATCCCATCTTCTTTACTACAAAGTCCCAATTCCACAAAACACAGGGTTCAGGCCGAGCTGCGACGGACAAAGCCGAAAGCCAACGCAACGGCGCGGAGGCGAGATTACGAGAGGACATGGTGCATTCTCAAACGGAGTACTCACTAAATTAAATATTGACTCATATGTGACTTGGGTTTGGCGGGAGAGCGTGGTTGGAGCAGGTCGAGTCCAGGCACCGCTGCAGTGGTTCATTTGTTTTCCCGTGTCAGAGGGTGAGAGGTTGTTTGTCATCGTATGCCCCGTTGCACTTTACAAGAACACTACAGCGCTGCGGGTCGGCCACACATGTAGAAGCTTTGGCATTATAAAGAATATGTTCATTCGAAAGTAAAACCAAAAAAAAGCCTATAGTTTAAAATGCAGCTGCAAAAATCTTTCATGTGAGATTTGTAGTCTAAATTCGTAGCTTTTTTTGTAATTCCAGGGCCAATCCACTAACAATAACTGCCATAGCTGCATGTGTGAGCCAGATCCTGTGAGAACTATGAAGCAAAGCAGGACTGGGCCTGGATAGTACTGTGATGGGAGACCTCTTTGTTGTGTCATTTCACTCACATTGCCTGGAATGAGTCTTGTGTGTGTTAAAGATCAGTGTTGGTCGAAGGGGCCGACTGCATATACTGTTTGCCTTGCTTCTGTCCGTGTGTCCCAGGGCAGCTGAAGCTAATAGTTTATTACCACTGTGTATGGAGTGAACATAGACAGTAACGGACGTAGTCACGCCTATCTCCGCCGTTTTAAGTAATGGGCCAAAAATTGTGCTCTACTGGAGCTATCCAAAATGGCTGCGAGTGGTCCCGCCCACAAGAACGAGAGACTTAAAAAATTAACAGCAAGTAAACTAGAGTGGTCCAAAAAAATTCACCCCCCTCAGCATTGACACACATGTGGAACGGAGCTTTGGGCCAAGGGCCAACTTTTGGACCATCCTGTAAAGACGTTTTTGAGATGTCTGCCAATGCTATTTGTTAGCATTGGCTAATTCTTATTCCGGGTCGGCCCCATCGGCCCGGGGTGGTATTGCAAGCGCACGTCATTTTGGCCACTTTTGAGCCGGGACCCGCCCCCACTGAGAGTGAAAGAACTATGTCAACAGTCTTTGAGTGTCCAAAAACGATTTATGAAACCGCATATTCTTTGTCGTTACAAATCAACTATGGTCTGATTTTTTTCTCATAAAGGGGTCACAAACTCAGGAAGGGGTGAAAATATAAAAAATTTAAGAAAAGAACTTGTGTGATGTTGACTAGTAGAAAGGGCTTAAGAATAATATGGTGGGTCACCATCAAAAAATGATCTGAGAAAACATTTCTTTTAAATATTTGTGTTTTTATTTCCTATAAAGAGTCCTTGGCACCTGCTTTCCAACTCCTGGAACATGAAAGTAGATACATTCATGGTGTCTTCCAATGCTAGATAAGATGCCACTATCTTGATGATTAGTTTATTTGTTACAATATACACAATATGCTAATGGCTGGAATCTTTGTTTCACGGTTGCCTTGTTTACACAAAACAGGTTTGGAACATAAAAGAATGCACACAATACACAAATGAAGCTAAAGAGGTTCAGAACTAACCTGGCCATAGCCATCCGTACACTCCGCTCAATCATCATTTCACTGCATGTAACGTCTGGGTCTGGTCCCTGTGTTAGCGATTACAATCGGTCGTATTTCAACCGGCTACTCAGAGAGTGCGGAAGGCAGGTGTTGTAGGTCGGTGCCGGTGACGTCAAGAGTTTGCGCCGAACGGGCAGGTTGTAGTTTGGCAGTGGCGAAGAATGTGATAGTAAAGTAATCTGGTCTGGTTCTATCAAGAAATTGAAGCAGGAGCAAGAGGAATGTTTAGCAAATGTAATCGCTGGTCAAGATTGTGGCGATACTCCTCACGGGCTCAGTTAGCAGCAAAGGAGATGGCTAGGCTAAATGCTAAATGCTAATAACACACTCGGGCTCATTACATCCGTCACAGTAAACTCAGATCCAATCGTTTCAATCTGCAAAAGGAGTTAACCCCTCCCACCTGTTCAAGGAGCTCAATGGAGAAAATCCAGACCTTAGTATGAAATGTAATTTGTACTAAGGTGTGGTACAACCAGGCTAGTTCAGAATGGAAGAGCAACTCAGCTCACAGCCTCAAAGTCCTCCTGCTGTTGCCCACAGCAACAGCAATCAGTCAATCACACTCAGCTGCAGCATCCATCCATCCATTTTCTACCCTTTAATCCATTTCTGGGTCAGGGGGGTGGCAGTCAGAGATGCCACCCAAGTCTCATAGCACCAGCCCCTCACTGACCCTCTGCAGGTGGTGAGTCCACAGGAGGACGGCTGCTCTCTGAGTGTGAGCATAGCCTTGATCTTTCAGTGGGGGCTTTGGGCAAAGTGGGGTTAAGTGTCTTGCCCAAGGACACAACGACAGCAGTCATCAGTGGGAGTCTGTGGAGAAGGTGCAGAGGTGGGAATTGAACCCACGACCTTCTGGCCTGAAGGCCAACGCTCTACCAACTGAGCTACTGTCGCTCAGCTGCAGCACTGCACGCCAATCCTCCCCTGCAGCAATCAGGCACTGCCCACATCAGCTTCATATCACACAGAAGCTACATTTAAGCAGCAGCTTTATTCATGCCACAACCCTCCTCCTCCCCATCTCCACCCTGTTCCAGGCCAGATTTCATATGTGTAATTTTTGTACTACCCATGATTTGTCTGTTTGAGTCCCTCCAGATTGAATCTGATTGATCATGGATGTTGCGGTTGCTACATTGTTGTAAAATACAGTAAATACATAGTTTTAACCCTAACCCTTACCGATTACTCTAATTAAACCAACACAAAAATGCACATTGAAAACATTTGTAAATGTATAAAACATAAGAAAAGAATGAACCTCTTATAACCTCTTTTCTGTTCCGAAGATTGATAACGATTTCCTTTAACATCCAAAATATGGGATTTATTTTTTAACTCATTTTACTCATCATTATGTTTATTATGCTCTGTGTACTGGATGAGGCTCTGAATGCCACCCCCCGACCCAGACATGGATTAAGGGGAAGAAAACGGATGGATGGATGGATATGTTTATTATTGTAAGCTTGTTGGGCATGTTTGAACACCAACAGTGCTGTAAGCTATATGTCATGACTTGGATATTTTCTCAAATGCGCATCTTGAACAAAATCGGTCTATAATTACACTTCAGCCCAAAGTGACCTTGTTGACTCATTTATCTCTGCAGTCAACGGTCATCAGCAGTTGCCATTTAGTGATGATGTAGCATTTGCTGAAGCCAGACAATGCGTTCCTATTCCCCACATACAGTATTTGTCTCTTTTTCTTTCAATTAGTGAAGCAGACCAGTTGAAAATTGATGGATCTGCACAAAGCTTATAGTCTTCTAATGAAACAACACATTTAGCAACCATTTGAGAGCCCATAAGCATCCATAAATCCATATTTATACTTTTGCCTGTTTGTCTCTGAGAGAGAGCTGCCTCCCCTTCAGAATCAGGTGGATGAGAGAATTGAGAGTTTGATGTAGAAATATTCTTGTTAGCAGAAAATATGCTTATTCTAGTCCCTGGAGTTCTCCTCAATTTTAGCAAGGCAATCAATTTGAGCTTCAGCCTGCCCTGGTGCAATGGATTCCCGATGTGTGATGTAGAAAAAGAAATGTGGAAGTTAAAAATGGCAATCCGTTTTCAGTTGACATTCTTCAAATAAGTTATTCCCCTTGTGATTTTCAAAGGTGAATATGTAAAACGGTGCCCTTATTGTACTCTACGGTTGTCTTGAGCCGAATCAAGGCTGTAGAGAAGCTCGCAGCAACTTGAACTAAAATCCTCTTTGTGCTGACAAGGCAAGGTTCTTATCTTATTCAGCTATCTGCGCTCTATTATCCTGCCACTCGGGACCTTGAGATATTGACAGCGGCTTCAAATCAGTTTAGTCGGAAAGCGATTTCAATGTTAAAAAGGATGGAAGTTGTAGAGACGGTGAACTTGTATTCTGCCGGTGACAAAGTATAAAGGCCACAAGGAGCTATAGTGTCGTATCAACCAGGAAGACGGAGACAGGTAACGTCTCTTGGATCCCCAAATGGTCCCAATCCTTACCAGTCTGTCTCTCTTCTTTGCTGCACCAAGCCGGATAACCAATCATGGGTCAGGTCACGGCTTCTTACTGTAACCCACCGTTCACATCGGCTGTTCCGTTTTCACCTGGACCGTCTCCCTCCTCATTCCCCAGCTCCACCTCCCCACTCTATGAAGCTGAAAACCAAATTGCGGTAACGATGCAAAAATTGCACTTTGTCAATGGAACTTTGGTTACACTGCAAAAAAATGATAAAAAATATAAGGTAAACAATGCTTGAGTTAAGTGTCTTTTATCTTATTTTGAGTACATTTTGACAAGAGTTGCCAATGAAACAAGTAAAAAGATCTGTTTATAAAAAGATACAAGAAAAATCAAGACATTTTTTCCTTGGAAAGAGAAGTAATTGCAATATCACTTGAAATAAGACTAAGCGGCTTGTTCCATTGGCAACTCTTGTTTTAAGACAGTCAACATTCTAATTAAGATACAGCCACTTGATTCAAGCGTTTATTACCTTATATGTTTTCATTGTCTGCAGTGTAGTCCTCACATCTTGAGCTTTTCTCTCTTTAAAGCCAAAGGGAGGACGAGTTTGCCGACTATAGTTCATCTACCTACTCCTCTCGTATTTATCTCTACGGGAGATCACTTTTTCATGGTATTTCATGATATTCAGCAAGATTTATTCAGTATATTTCACCATGAGTTTTTGGTTGACACTGTATTTTTAACGTCATTATTTGTATGTATTTTAATGCAAATTATGTGATTGAATAATTGAATGTTTTACCCTTTTGTGCCCTTGTAGTTTCGGCCACTGACTGCGACTCTGAACAGAACGCAGAGCTCACGTATTACACCCTAAGTCCGGACTTCTCCATATCTCCGCACGGGACCATTTTCCCCGCTGGGCCCCTGGACTATGAGCGGCTCAACCATCTGTATGAGTTTGTGGTGATGGCCATCGATAAAGGCGACGTGCCTCGAACAGGAACTACCACAGTCCGGATCCGCATGGCTAACGTCAATGATGAAGCACCCGAGTTCTCCCAGCACATGTAAGTATAAGCAAGTCGATGTGAAATGAACTTTGAAAAATGATGGATGTTGCTACTGGAAGGATAAATTAAATTCGAATGGAACGTAAGGTGTAATGTAATTCTTCAGAGGGCGGTAGATGGATTGAACTGGACTATATTGTACTCAGCCATGCACACTTAAAAGGAACTAGGTCGACCATTGTGGGTCGAGTTCATTGATATGTCAGGTACATCCGTCTTAGGTTGGAATATTTTTGAAAGTCCACAAATTGATGGCAATTTCTGCAAGCTTGTGCCTTTGCTGGGTTAGGTTATACGCTGCATGTTGTACTACGAATATCCAAGCAGTCTATTATGCAAGTGTTACTTTTTTGAATTTAGTGCAATTTGTGTTCATTTTTCAATTGCATGGAATTATTGAAGAAACGCAAGATTATCCATTTTAACAAATTATTTAATTGAATCAACTTTGTACATGTTAAAGCTCACATACAACAGAAAGAGTCTTATAAAAATAACAAATTGTAAACCGCTTTGTGACTCTGGTCTGTGAAAGGCGGTATATAAATAAAGATTACTTACTTACTTAAAAATTGTTTTTTTTTTTAACAAATCCGACCACAACATACTTTTACTATCATTAGAACATGTATTAGAACATGAAATATGTATAGTGTACATATAGTCTTGTGAGTCATTATTTGTGGAGTGGTCCAATCATTTGTCATATCAACATTTACAGAGGCCAAAGATATCAGTTTTGAGAGCAAGGAACCATGATAGATTTCAAAACATTTGAGGTATAAAAGTTAGATGAAGGGATGTTCAGCCGATGGATCGACTGAACATTGGTGTCGGCCGATGTTTGCCCGGTTAACTACCATTGGCCATCGGCAAATAAAGATGACATTCACCGATGGTAGGCCTGAGCGAGGAGATACCGGTAGAGGGCGTCTGCACACTTTCCTCAGTAGAAGAAACAAAGATGGCGGCGGCGTGTGGCAATATTTTACAGTATAAGATCAGAGTTATGCAGTTTGTAGTACATGTTCCAGTGAGTTTTCAAGAGGGTAGACTGCTGGAATATCATTTAACACAAATACTCTTATTGGACATTTGAGAAGCAAGCGTGAGGTGGTGTACAGCGATTGCATGAAGCTGAAGATAAAGCAGAAAATTGAAGCTGCCAAGACATATACACACTATATGTATTAATAACAAACATTGGCTAAACATCGGCTATCGGCCAAGTTGTTATAGTAAACATCTGTATCGGCCCAAAATTTCACAATCGGTGCCTCCCTAATTGAGTATCTTTTTTTTATTTTTTTACAATTATGAATGAACTGATATTGTTAAAGAAGTTTTTCCACTTTTGTTTGGCGCATATTGACTTGATGGAATTGTTCACCTACAACAATTGAGATATTTTGACTTTCAATTTCAATTCTTTTACATCAAGCCCGAGGAAAAAAACACACATACCCTATTGGTTGTACATGACCTCATGGACATTGGGATCACAACTTTCCTGTCTGGTCAGGTCAGGCCTCACAGCTGCTTCTCAATTTGACATTGCATCCGGCCCCTAGTGTCGCCTGCTTCTTTTAATTGGTTGATTTTCTGGCAGAGAGCTGGAAAGATTGGTGAAGCGAGGTCAATCAGCCGTGCCTACCAGCGCTCTCTAGAGGCTAGACTGTGTGTTTGTGTGTGTGTGAGAAGGGGTGTGTATGCCAGTAATTGAGAGGGGATGTTGGTATGGACAGAGAGGCGCAGTTATAAAGCGCCCTCATGCATCATTCATCCAATATGCATGTGTTGTGCTGTTTATGTGGAGATGGGGGCAAGTCCTGTGTGCAGTGGTGATGGCCTGTATTGATTTACCGTCAGTGACAGCAGAATAATCAGACATCAACTCCCGGGAACAGCTGAAAATTCAGAGATATTGCCATTCAAAGTTGTAGGGCTTCAAATAAATAATGAAAAATACATATCCAATCGTAAATGTATAGATTTTGTTATTGTTCACTTCTAAATAAAGTCCATGCACATTTCAAACACTCAAAGAGCATTCAGAGTGAGCATTAGTTGGGCCTCTGCACAGAAGCACTAGTAAATACAGTAAAGGCTGATAGAAGCCTCCATCTTTATTGGGAAAGCATTCATGGTTTATACATAAAGAGTTCTTTTATGTGGAGAAATAGACAGAGTTTTGAGAACTAGATGCTGAGAGGAAGAGGGAGAGAGACGAGGGCTGCATAATGTATGGACATAAAATAACAATTGTGATTGGATATATTAATTAACATATATTTTGTTAATACATTTCTACAGTTTTATGCAACAGTAGAGGGTGGACTTACAGTATAAGAGGGACTACAGGTGTAAGTTATACTGGTGCTACAACCTGGTACAATGCATTTCCTTTGGCTAATACTTGCAGTATGTCACACTGTCCCTGCACTGGGAGTAGCATTGGTAAAAGTGAAAATCTGTACAGCTACCACTCTATCCAAACTAATCATGAATTGATACCAGTCTGAACATATTAGTCTTGGCCCTTGGGAGGATTTTTTCCCCAGAAACTTGCCCTGCCTTTGTTTTCATTCATTTAGACTGAAAGCTTTGTTTAGCTCGGTTAATTTGATTGTCTAATAGGTTGGCTTCTTTCTTTGCGAGAAAGAGAAATGCTTTATAAGACTTCTTTTCCTTCCTTTTTTTTAAATCACGGAAACACAGAGCTTTCCATTCGAATATTGAGCTAATTTGAAAAGTCTTTCACAATTTGGCAATTTGTTTGGATTTTTTGTTTTTACTAGAATTGCAAGTCAGTGTGAGGATTAAGAAAAAAACACCATTAAAATAACATTCTCCTGTTTTCTAAGTCACATTGAATTCTAATGCAAATAGTTGTTTAAATCTGGTCCAACCTGAATCGTCTTCCTCATTTGTTGTGGAGTGCTTGTAAATGAAAACGAAGTCACAGTCAACCGTGGTCACGACCACAACTTGTTTATGCACCTGAGGCAGAAGTGCAGAACATATACCCTGACTTTATAATAACAGCCACAGCCACACTTTCTAAGATCGTAAAAAGTGCAAATAAAATAAAAATGTGTGAGTATTTTCAAGTTCTTCTGGAGTGCAGTATGTGATGGACACAGGCAGAGAAACAGAGAGGTCATTAACTATATCATTATGAATCTGCCCCATTGTTATTGATTCTAAGTTGGAAGTGCATGGGATAATGACTAGCAGTGTGCAATGAGGGGTGGGCTGCGCGTTCAATGGTTTTCTTCAGCTCTCGGAAAACACACTGTTTGTGAAGTGTCTTTCTTTGCCGTCTATTAGTGGGTGCTGTCAGGACTGTTATCTTGACTGACAGAGGAAAGGAAAAACATTTTTATTTTCTCCGCGATGCCTGGTTGTTGTGTGCGGCTGAGGTTTTTCTTTGGTGGCCCGCGTAGTGACCGTATTTCATTGTTGGGGTTCACACACTTCACATTCCCATTAACGGAGGTGCCACTTATACTGTTTGTTGTCGTCATGCATCCTTCTAGTGGAGTCTTCGATATGGATGTATAATAACGTGAAATGTAAAAGGTAGTCTGTAATTACTTCAAGCAGTGCTGCAGATCCCATGATACACAACAAAAATGATAACATATGAGGTCATAAATGTTTGAATCAAGTGGTTTTTCGCTCAATTTGAGTACATGCTGATTGTCTTAAAACAAGGTTTGCTAATAGAACAAGACGTTTAGTCAGCATTAGTTCATACAGTATATAAATAATAAAAGTTTCATTCCAAAGAGAGACATTTCTTGAATCTTTTAAAAACAAGATAATTTTGCTTGTTCCAATTGGCAGATCTTGTTATAAGGCAGTCAAAATGTGCTAATGTTCAAATACATTTTACATTTTTGACGTTGTTTTGTTCACTTTTTGCAGTCATATATACTGTAGGTCACAAAATGTATTTAAACTCTGAATATGTAAGGTGTTTTTTCCGATTTTCCTATGTGTCTTTGGAAACAAGTAAAAACAAACAAGGTCCTTGCTGGGCAAACTACTGCAGGCCAAGACACCATATTGGCTATTCTAATATCGGATACTGGTGAAACTCGGAAAATCATTTAGTTTAGTTTTTCCAGACTTTTTTAAAACTGATATTTTTTTTCCCAAGACCTTAACTTTTTGTATTTGTGTACCTACTGCCTTTGAAAACACACAACGACCCATTTCTGTTGACCACTCGGCTAGCTATGTGTCATAGACCTCAGCAGTGACATCACAAAAATGTGCCAATGTGCAAGTCTTGATTGTATATGTTTCCATTAGGCTAATACAGTACGTGACCAGTAGGTAATATTATAGTCTTAAATATATAAATTATACATAGGGACACTAAAATCCCCACCAAATGTGAAATTTATGAAAGACGTAAGTTCTCTGTCAACCGAGATTGAGCTGTTTTAGTTTACATTGAGTTCTATGGGACTTTTTCCTGGGTAGCCTGCGTAAATTTAGTCTGCAGTACCACGGGCGCCCCCTGTGCCCATGGGTAGGACAGCAAAAAGCTAGTAATATCCTATCCACATATTATAATAGATCCATGAACAAAACAGACAATGAAACATGACAACCATGACAGTAATAACAGTAATGTAAGCCTTTTAGTTTCATGTTTGCCGATGGGAGCAACTGGCACATACCTTTTTAAGCCACATTTGTGTTCACTATGATTCAATACAGCATATTTCATCGCCTGCAGTCGGCCCAATATAATCATATAATTGTCGATTATCTGGAAATGACTATGAAAACAACAAAAACATTGTCAAGCCATGAATGTATAAGTAGAGAATTGTGTATTTTAACTGCTTGTGGAATATGTTTTTGGCATAAAAAAACAAACCTTAACCTTAATAGTCTTCAAAAACACAATGTGCCTTAAAAATTGGTCAATGAGCAGTAGCTATGCCCAATCAAGAGGCTTGGCTATCAGGAGAATCAGC